TTGCCAATCCTTGAGGTATTAAAAATGATTGTCCTTGTTTTACAAATAAAATCTTTACAGGGTTAAAAAAAAAAAAAAAATAGCATGCCCTTACTTGCCGTCTGATGAGAGCTGCGTTCCTGTGCTGCGTGAAACCCAGGAGAAGACAGTAGGCCATGGAGAAGACACTTCCTATTGGGCCCAAGACCACAGCAGTGGGCCCGGGTCTTGGCCCTCGCGTGTATCGGGGCCTTCTAGCCCTCACACCTCTCTCTGGCAGTGGCTGGTTCTCTCTGTCTCGTCAGAGCCCCGCCTTCTGGTGGCTCCCATCCATTTACCGTCTGCAGCCGGAGCAGGCTGTTGCAGTGAGCAATGAGCAGCTGCCTGTCTTTAGCAAGACCTGGGGGGCACGGTGGCAGTCAGTTGTTTTCGGAAAGGGAAGATAGAGTTTAAAAAGTAGAGGAATAACCAGTTTGTTTCGTTTCTTTTCTTTTAAATTTATTTCTTATTATTGACAGTATTACCGTGTTTCCCCGAAAATAAGACATCCTCTGAAAATAAGACCTACTTACAGGTTTCCTTCTGAGTGAAATATAAGGCATCCCCCTGAATATAAGGCACCCCCCCACTAGGCTAACCATGAGAGATTTGGTCCACTGATTCTGAAAGAAATGGAGTCACAAGAAATTCACCAGGAAATTCAGGAATTGGATTGTTATGATGATGTTCCAGAAGATGATGACATGATTGTCATTGAATAAATGAGTAAATTCTTGATACTGCAGGATTCACAGTTTGTCGGGTTTGTGTTGACAACTACTGTACTACCGTACCGTATACAGGTAATAAATTTCCTTTATTTTCATTTAACAATAAATGTGTACCGAATTCTTCTTCATGGAAAAATAAGACGTCCCCTGAAAATAAGACCTAGCGCATCTTTGGGAGCAAAAATTAATATAAGACACTGTCTTATTTTCGGAGAAACGGTATATTAAAAAAAAAAGAAGAAGAAGAAGGAGGAGGAGGAGGAGGAAGGGAACCCAAAGAACAAGGACAGAGAAACATCGATGTGATCCATATCCTTGACTGGGAATCAAACTCAAGACCCTTTGGTGCATGGGCCAACACTCTAACCACTGAGCAACCAGGTAGGGCTTTTTTTTTTTTTTTTCTTTTTTAAGAAATATATCTATATAATTTCAGAGAGGAAGGGAGAGAGAAACATCAATGATGAGAGATTCATTGATCAGTTGCCTCTTGCATGCCCCCTACCAGGGATCAACCCAAGCATGTGCACCAGCGGGAATCCCTAACCTGGAATCACTTCCGGGTCATAGGTCCATGCTCAACCTCTGAGCCACACCAGCTGGGCTTTCCCTTTTTCTTTTCTTTTCTTTCTTTTTTTTAAAAAAATATATTTTTATTGATTTTTTACAGAGAGGAAGAGAGAGGGATAGAGAGTTAGAAACATTGATGAGAGAGAATCATCGATCAGCTGCCTCTTGCACACCCCCTATTGGGGATGTGCCCACAACCAAGGTACATGCCCCTGACCGGAATCGAACCCGGGACCTTTCAGTCCGCAGACCGACGCTCTATCCACTGAGCCAAACCGGTTTCGGCGGGCTTTTCCTTTTTCAAAGTTTCTTTTTATTTTTTGCTGTTACTCATCACCCAAGGATATTCTTCCACTGATTTTCAGGGAGAGTAGAAGAGAGAGGGAAACACATTGATGTGAGAGAAACACATTGATTGGTTGTCTCTTGCATGCCTAAGTTTCTTGGTTGCCAAAGTTTCTTTTAATGGTTAAAACAATATTTAAACTCTAAAGTGAAGTTTCTCTCCTCAACCCATCTTCTTACCCACTCATTTTTTTTTATAGAGAAAAAGGATGCACATTTTCTTGTTTAACAAAATAAATTAAATATACGAAGCTTCAGCTCAAACTCTATATAAAATTACAGAGGTCGGGGGTCCTCGGGCAGCGGGTGCCCGGCCCCCAGGAGGACGCCCCGCCGGCCACAAGACCAGTGGGTGCTGGGCCCCGGGAGAGGCCAGGTCTGTGCCCAGTGCTCCTCTCACCATTAATATTATTATCTTAATTTTTAAATATAAATACCAGGCCCCTCTCTCCAGCAGGGAGGCGGGTGACGCCTCTCCGGACAGGGCTGGGCCTGCAGCCGGATGCGACGCCCGGCCCAGGACACGGGGGCGCTCCTGCACGCCGGACAGGAGGCGGCAATAACAGCCCCTGCCTGCCGTTACCCACTTGTTTTCATGTCCTTCTCCAGCAGGAAAATCCTGCTGCTTTTTTTCAGTATTCAAATACTAGCAAACAGTAGCTGTAAAGTCTTATCACTCTCCCGCAAAAGGTCAGAGCATAACATATACCTTTCTGAAAGGTTTTTTTTCTTCATTTTTTGTGGGACTCTTTCCATGTTGAAACTATAAGAGCCTGTGCAGTTCTGTACAGATGTGCAATGTTATGGATTTATGAAAACAGCGAGGAGGCCTGTGTGGACTGAGGGGGGAGAGAAGGAGGAGAGACGAGGGTGGGGAGGTTATGAGAGCAGACAGTGTGAGCCCTGATGGGCTGCAGTGAGAACTTTGGCTGGTGGTGTGGAGCCTTAGAGGGTTCTGAGTAGAAGATGGACTTGAATCGCCAAAACCCGGTTTGGCTCAGTAGATAAGAGCGTAGGCCTGCGGACTGAAAGGTCCCGGGTTTGATTCCGGTCAAGGGCATGTACCATGGTTGCGGGTTCATCCCCAGTAGGGGGTGTGCAAGAGGCAGCTGATCAATGATTCTCTCTCATCGATGTTTGTAACTCTCTATCCCTCTCTCTTCCTCTCTGTAAAATATCAATAAAATATATTTAAAAAAAAACAAAGAAGATGGACTTGCCTGGACTTAGGGCACCCTGTGGCAGCTGTGGTGGGGGGTACAGGCTTTGGGGGTGGGACCTAGGGGGCCAGGATGAAGGGACTGTAATGGGCCAGGTGGGAGATAACAGGGGCCGTGTCCATATGGGGGACCAAGGAAGGAGTGAGAAGTGGGTGGATCCTGGGTAGATTTTGAAGCAGACAGGACTTGCTGTCTGTCATATTAGGGAGGGGTGGGGTCAGAAAGGAAGAGGTGGAGGATGCTCCAAAGTTTGGGGCCTTAGGTCCTAGCAGGATGGGGCTGGGTCTAGACGCAGCGGTCGCCAACCAGAGGTCTGCCGACCACTGGTGGTCCAGACCAGAGGTCGCAAGATTGGCGACCGCTGGTCTAGAGGACAGCAAAGGATTGGTTGGGGAACGGCTCAGGATGTAGAGGGAGGCAAGTCCCAAGAGCCGGGCCGCAGTCCCAAGAGCTGCCGCCAGAGGGCGAGCCGGCCCCATCTCCTGCGCTCACCTTGGGTCGCGGGAAGGACCCGGCCTGCTGCTTCCCACGGGCCCCGCAGCCCGCAGTGCCTCACCTGGGTGCGAGATGCGGGCCTCAGAGGTGCCAGGGCCCTGCCGAGACCCCCCAGAGCTCTCGGAGCCCCAAGGCCTGGCACTCCCATTCCTCTGTGCTTCAAGTACTCCAGCTTCCACTCCCCACCAGGCTGTTTGCTTTGCCTGTGACACTCTCTCAGGGCTCTGCAAAAATGGCACCTCTTCAGGAAGGCCTTCCCTGGCCACCCTGGGGCAGAAGCCCCTCCCCCTTCAAGGGACAGCCCTTTTAATTTAAGAACATTGTATATGTATAATTGTCTCAGAAATAGGAAGGGAGAGGGAGAGATAGAAACATCAATGATGAGAGAAAATCATGGATAGGCGGTCCTATCATATTAGGAAGGGGGTGGGGTCAGAGAAAGTAAAGCGTCAAGGATGCTCCAGAGTTTGGGGCCTTAGGTCCTAGCAGGATGGAGCTGGGTCTAGCCGACCACTGGTGGTCCGTGACTGCCCGGGAATTGAACCTTGACCTCCTGATTCATGGGTCCATGCTCAACCACTGAGCTACTACACCAGCTGGGCAAGGCACATCCCTTTTTAATAATACTTCTTACTATGTAAGACTCTCAAATAATCTTATTGATCTTATATTGCCTGTTTTCTGCATTACAATGTAAGGCAGGGAGGACCCATTTTCGGTGTTGTCCACCTGCATCCCCAGGGCTCAGAATTGTGCTTGGCCCCTAACAGGTGCTAAAGGAAAACCAACAGCCATAATGTTAATCATAGCTTACTCATGGTGCTTCTATTTTAAACTTCTTACAAAGATTATCTCCTTCAGTCCTCAGAACAGCCCTGCCAGGTAGGGATGGTTATCACCTCCACATTTCAGAAGAGGAAGCTGAGGCCCAGAGTGGTTAAGGGACTTGACCAAGGTTGCACAGCTGGAAGGTGATTGAAACCTGAGTAGCTTTTTAAAAATATATATATTTTATTGATTTTTTTACAGAGAGGAAGAGAGAGGGATAGAGAATTGGAAACATCGATGAGAGAGAATCATCGATCAGCTGCCTCCTGCACACCCTCTACTGGGGATGTGCCCGCAAACAAGGTACATGCCCTTGACCAGAATAGAACCCAGGACCCTTCAGTCCACAGGCCAACGCTCTGTCCACTGAGCCAAACCGGTTTCGGCTTCATTTTCATTTTTAAAGTTTGGGCATTTAGGGGAGGTCTTACTGCTCAAAACCTGAGTAGCTTAACTGCGAAGTCTGGTTTTGCTAAATGGATGAATGGGGCCTGAAGCCAGGTAAGGAGCCCTCAAGGACCCTGGCATTGTGCCCCAAGCCCCTCTAGACCTGCCTTTCCTGGTGCCCCAGCCCACAGGCCAGCAGTCCCAGCCCCCAAGTCCCCTGCCATGCTGGGGGAGGGGTGGGAACCCAGCAGGTCTGGGTTTACTCTGGAGCTTGTAGAGGCACCTCCCAGGCTGTGGGGAGGGGGGACAGGCCGTTAAAAGTGGGTCTTGTGGGTAGAGACTTCACTCACCAGACAGCAGGGTCAACTGCCCGGGACCCTGAGCCCCGTCCCAGACAGACAGACAGATGCTCCTCAGCCAGCTGACCACAGTTCTGAGCCTGCTCAGTGGAGCGTGCCTACCCACAGGCTTGGGGAGGCCTGGACCCCAGGGTTCCACACCTCCGCCCTGGGCTGCCACAAATCAGACCCGACCTCTGGGCCGAAGGGCCCAGGCCTCCCCAGGGCCATCGTCTGCGCTCAGCAGCTGGAAGGCCTTCCTGGACCTGCAGAAAACCAGGCGTATGGGGAGCGGTGGGCTGCAGCACGAGCAGGAAGCAGCCACCGCCATGTCTCTCCCGCTGGACCCGCAGGAGGTAGCCCAGGAGAGCTGTAAGGCTGTGCCCTTCACGCAGGTGCGTATGTGGCGGGAGAAGGAGAGGGCTGGGTCTCAGCATTGACAGAGAGCTCGACGGTGGTGCCAGATGAGGCATCAAGCCCTGTATCCTTCCCCTGACTCTGATCCTCAGTTTCCTCCCTTAGAAAATGGGGGGTGCCCCTCTGCCAGCTTCTGCAATCACCACCCTGCCCCCCACGTCTCTTTTCCCAGGTAATGGCCAGAGGCACCCGTGAGCTTCCGAGACAGGTCATGTCCCTTCTACACTCAGAACCCTCTGTGGCTCCCACCTCACCCAGAGCAAAAGCCCCAATTTCCCCCACAGCCCACAAGGCTCTCTGCCTGTCCTCTCTCTGCTCTCACCTCCTCCCGTTCCCCCGTTCCCCCGTGCCCACTTCACTCCTGCCACCCCTGCCTCCTTACTCTCCCCACACACAACAACAGTATACACCACTGGCCGCTCCTCTGCCTCTAGCACCTCCCCCCACCCTGGCATTCCATGGCTCCTCCTCTCACCTCCTTCAGCTGTTTACTCAAACGTTACTTAAAAATGCAGCAGCCCGGCTGGTGTTGCTCAGTGGTTGAGCAACCACCTATGAACCAGAAAGTCACAGTTGGATTCTCAGACAGGGCACATTCCTGGTGGCGGGCTTGATTCCCGGGAGGGGGTGCAGGAGGCAGCCAATCGATGATTCTCTCTCTGAAATCAATAAAAAAAATATATATTTTAAAATGCAGTGCCTCCCACCCCATTTTCTCGCTGTAGTACGCCTCATCACCGAGAAAATGAAATTGATTCTGTAATTGCACTTATTATCTGTCTTCCTCAATAGAATGTCTATTCCACCAGGGCAGGATTTTTTTATGCCTTATTCACGCTCTGTTCCCATCCCTAAGCCCCAGAGCAGAGCCGGGCACACACAGCAGCTGTTTGTCAAATGACAAGCAATAGTAGTACCTGCCTGCTAAGTACCAAGCCAGAGCTTGGTACACCTGGCTCAGAGCCGGATCGAGAAGGGAGTGGGCAGCACTCCCTCAGTGCGTTCAGTTGATGCTCCACAATGGCTGTAGGCACTCATGCCCTGTTGTTTACGGCACAGGCTCTGAAGCCAGGTGTACCAAGTTCTGCCTTAACGGGTGATTTCTTTGTAACTCTGAGCAAGAGGGTGGGGTCCTGGGTCAGAGTGAGGGGAAAGGTGGGAAGATGAGGGGAGGGGGGCAGAGGCGGGAGTGCAGGGTTTAAACAGAGAAGGACCATGAACGGGGCGACTTGACAGTTGGAGGGGAATCATAGGGAGAACTGACATTGATTTTTTTTTTAAATATATATTTTTTATTGATTTTTTACAGAGAGGAAGGGAGAAGGATAGAGAGCTAGAAACGTTAATGAGAGAGAAACATCGACCAGCTGCCTCCTGCACACCCCCCACCGAGGATGTGCCCGCAACCAATGTACATGCCCTTGACCGGAATCGAACCCGGGACCTTTCAGTCCACAGACAGACGCTCTACCACTGAGCCAGACCAGCTTCGGCGAGAATTGACATTGATTGAGCACAGACTGTGTGCCGGGTGATAGGCTAAAGGCTTTCTGTGTAATACCCACCCCCAACCCCCAGGCCCTGCAATGCCACCTCTTCCTGCTATTACCCAGCCTTTCTCTCTGTTAATCCTCTTTGTTGAAAGGCGTAGAGTAGTTTCTTTCTTTTTTTTTTTTTTTCCCCCTGGTTGAACTTTGATGATTTCATAGGTGAAAAAACTGAGGCCCAGAGAGGTTGAGTAACTTACCTCAAGTCACACAGCAAGCAATGGCAGAGTCGGGCTTTGAGCCCAGGCACCCATGCTTCTCAAGGTGGGGTGGGAGTGGATCGGGGGTTATTCTCATTACTCTGGCCTCTGGCTCCACGACCCTTGACCTGTCTCCCCACCTCTGACCCCAGGTGCTCTCCCGGCCGGGGTGCACGCCTCTGCGCCTCCGTAACCGCCTCTGCGTGGGCCACTGCTCCTCGCTCTACGTCCCTGGTGCAGACCCTGCCCCGTTCGTCCTCTGCAACAGCTGTGTGCCCGCCAGAGGGCACTGGGTGCCCGTGTTCCTGTGGTGCCGGGCGGGCAGCCCCGCCTCCCGCCGCCGGCGGCGGGTGAAGACATACACGGTGCTGGTCGAGAGGTGTCAGTGCAGCCCGAAGGCGTGAGCTGAGCCCCTGGGACCGGCACACAGACGCACGCACCGTGGAGAGATGCGGGAGTCAGAGAGACGCCGACCTGGGCCGTGTTCCCCGGTCAGAGAGACCAGGGATGCAGGGAAAGCCAGATGGGCCTCCCGATCCTCCCGGCTCCCACCAATACCGGACAGCCAGCCGCCGTGGCGGCGGGCCCCTCACAGCACACGCCACCGAGCACTCACTAAGCCAGGCCCAGCTCTAAGCACCTGCCAGGTACTTACCCGAGTCATCCTCCGAGCTGCCCAATAGCATAGGGGCATCACCCCCATTTTACAGGGAAGGAAACTGAGGCCCCACGAGGCAAAGACACTCGCTCAGGGTCACACAACCGTACGTGTGTGGCAAAGCCAGCGTGTGAACCCCAGGCAGCTGGGGCCGGCTTTTTAAAAAAATACATATTTTATTGATTTTTTACAGAAAGGAAGAGAAAGAGATAGAGAATTAGAAACATCGATGAGAGAGAATCATTGATCAGCTGCCTCTTGCATCCCCTCCTGGGGATGTGCTCGCAACCAAGGTACATGCCCTTGACCGGAATCGAACCTGGGACCTTTGAGTTTGCAGACCGACGCTCTATCCACTGAGCTAAACCGGTTTCTGCGGGGCTGGCTTCTAACTGCCAGGCTGGACCTCCGCGCACAGAATAAGACAAAGACACACTCCCGACTGCGGGGAGAACAGACGACCCCAGCCAGGAGACACTGTGACGACCCTGCCTTCGGGGCCCCAGGAAACCAAGGCAGGAAAGCAGAGGTAGCAACGCAGGGAAGCCTGGGTTTCCCACGTCAGAGGCAGAACCCACAAGCTCCAGCTGCTCCTCCCCGCTCCCCCAGTCCCCACCAGCCCCACGCCCAGTGTGCATTCCACAGGACCATAAAGGTTGACAGCCCAATGTGTGTGTGTGTGTGTGTGTGTGTTTGTTCTTCCATCGGGCGTCCCCTGGAAGTGGGTGGCCCTGTGGAATGCAGGCCTGAGGGGTGCTCCCTCCTCCGTTGGGCACCGGGTCTGCAGCGGACGAGGGTGGCCGGGCTTCGGGCGTCTGGAACCAGGGCCCTAGCAGATGGGCTCGTCTGGCACAGGCGCAGGGACATGTGGCGCTGTCAGGGTTGCCTCCAAATGCTCCCCGGAGCGCAGGGCGGTGGGGGGGGGGGTCAACCGGGGCCCCCCTCGGCCCTCTTCCTGCCTCAGGAAGGAAGGCCCCAGGTGAGGGGAGCAGGAGGAGGGGACCCGAGGAAACAGATGGGCCGTGGGGCGTGGGAGCCCATGACCCCTGACCCCACAGGCCAGCACAGAGGGGTGGGAACAGGCCAGGCAGGCAGCTCCCAAGGCCCAGCTCCAAGGGCCCGGGATGGGGGAGGGCCATGCGTGGCCCGTGGGGGAGGGGCGTGCTCGCCCGCCTCCCTCCAGGGTTCTGTGCCAAACCCCAGGCATCGTCCGAGTGGGGAGCTCAGCCTTGGCACCGTGGACACCCCTCTGGCAGGCACATGAGGCGCCGGCTTCCACCCCCTTTCTGCTGTGCTCACCTCCTGCCAGCCGGGGAGCCAGCTGGGAACCTTGGTGCCAGGGGGGCCCCAGCATCCCTGCCCCCTCCTGGGCAGTGCCAAACGGCCCCCCCACCCCGTCCCCAGGACCATTAATGGGTGGGTAATGAGTGCTGGGGGAGCGGGGGAGGGGCGGGATGCAGGTGCCACAGGCGCTGGCACAGGGGCTGCTAATCAGGTTTGCCAACGCCATCTGTCACCGCGCGAGCATCTGGGGCTCAAGGTGACCCTGTCACCCTCAGTTACAATTATGATTTTGGCATCTGTATTAAAGCCCGCCAGCCGGCCGGGAGGGGGGCGGGAGGGGTGGGCACGGGGGTGCACAGCGAGCCCTGTCCCGGGGGTCCTGTTCCCAGGGGCTGTGTGGCTGCCAAGGCATGGAGCTTCTCTCTGCTTAGGGGAGTGAGTGAGTGTGTGTGTGTGTGTGTGTGTGTGAGAGAGAGAGAGAGAGAGAGAGAGAGAGAGAGAGTGTGTGTGTGTATGTGTGTGTGTGTGAGAGAGAGAGAGAGAGTGTGTGTGTGTGTGTGTGTGTGTGAGTGAGTGTGTGAGAGTGTGTGACTGTGTGTGTGAGTGTGTGTGTGTGTGTGAGAGTGTGTGTGTGTGTGAGAGTGTGAGTGTGTGTGTATGTGAGTGTGTGAGTGTGTGTGTGTGTGAGTGTGCATGAGAGTGTGTGTGTGTGTGTGAGTGTGTGTGTAAGAGTGTGTGTGTAAGAGAGAGTGTGTTTGAGTGTGTGTGTGTAAGAGAGAGTGTGTGTGTGTGTGTAAGAGAGAGAGAGAGAGAGTGTGTGTGTGTTTGTGTGTGTGTGTACATGTGCACCAGCCTGCACAATCCTTTGAGCATGTCTGGGGTGGGATTGGGAGCCTGGGTTCTGTGCATCTCTGGGTGTGGTGGCTAAGTGTCTGAGTTTGGTGGGACGGCTGGTGATGGGGGGCGGCTCTGAGATTGTGTGGGGACACAGACGAGTGTGTGTCCATGTGCTGGGAGAGGAGTGAATGGCCAGTCCAGGTGCCTTTGGGTGATGGTGTGTGTCTGGGTGTCTGTGTGATGTTGTGTGTGTGCCTCTGAGTGCGTGGTGCTGTATGTCTGGTCACAGGCTGGCTTTTTGTTTGGGCATGTGGGTCTGTGTGTAAGAGTGTTGAAGTATGACTGTGTGTGTGTGTGTGTGTGTGTGTGTGTGTGTGTGTGTGTATGTGTGCGCGTTTGTGAGGGTGGCAGCTGGCAGAGGCTCTGTGCGGTCACTGCAAGGCCTCTCTCCTGCCACTTTAACCTCTTCCTGTCCTCACCAACCCCTGCTGCCCCACCCTAATCTGGGGGCTTGGGGCAGGCAGGGGAGGGCTCCCAGCTTCTGGTTGGTGTATCTGGATTCAGGGTTCTCGGATTCTAAATTCTGAGGACAGGGCGTCTACTTTTGGATTTTGGATTCTGGGCATTTGGACCTGGATTCTAGATTCTGGGCCCTCAGTTCTTGGTATCTGAGAATTTAGATTCAGATTCTGGGTTCTGGGATCTGGCTTCCAGGCTCTGAATTCTGGCTTCCAGACCTTGGCTTCCTGTCTCTGGGCTCTGGGTGCTGAGCGGGAGGGGGGGATGGGTGGTGGTGGTGGGGCCCTGTCTCTCTGCCCTTCTATTCACTTTAGGCCACTGGGCTGTCTGCCATCCCCCACACCCTCACCCAATGCATGCGGAGACCACACATGGCCACCAGGGGACACCCTTGGTTCAGATTTGGGCCCAGATGACCCAGCCTTGGAGGAGTTGGGGACCGCCCTGGCCTGGCTGGACCCAACCCTTTGAGAGGAGGGAGAGGGCTTCACCTCCACCTCCCTTCCTTCCCCTTCCCATCTGGACTGGTGACTGATGTCTGTCAAACATGAAGGACTGGACCAGCATCTTCTCAGACCCCCCAATCTGGGCTGGGGTCCAGGGGGCCAAGTCTCTGGGTCAAATGCAGGGAGGAAAGAGGGCACATGTCGTGGGACACTGCAGGTGTGAGAGGGCACCGTGTGCCTGTTAGCCACATATGGCCGTGCTCTGTGGCGTGTGAGCCTGTGTGGTGTGTGGCCATGTGTGATTGGGACCATGTGTCTGGCAGAGCCCTCGTGTGACATGCTTCTCTAGGGCCGTATCTGTAGCTTTGTCCCTCTGGGGTGGGGTAGGAGTCCCTGTCATCTGGGTGTGTCTAACTGACCCTCACTGTGCCCCTGGGTGTCTGTGGGTGTACCTGTAGGTGCCACTGGGTCCTCAGAGTGCCTGGGGCGGTGACCCCAAGACCGGTCCTTGTGTTGATGGTGTCTTGTCAGTGGGTGTGTGAAGGTGTGCGGGGCAGAGGTGTGCCTTCCAAGAGTGTCAAATTGGAGGAGGCATGTTGTCCAAAGGCGAGTGAGTGGAGGAAGGACCCTCGGTTCCATTCTCCCTCCATCCTGCTGGGTCTCCATTGCTGGGTCTCCTCCCACCTCTCAGGATCTCTGACTTTGTCTGGGAGACCTGGTCCCCTGCCTGGTCCTGCCACCAGGCACAGCAGGCTCCGTGGCCATTGGCTGGCTCCCACCCCACACCTCTGTCTTCCCTCTCCATCCCTGGCCCTGCCTCTCCTAGGTCCTGTCCCTCTGTCCCGCTGTGGGTCCTTCCTCATTGGTGCATTCCTCTCCATCTCCCAGGTCTCTGCCATCTCTTTGTCTCTCTCCGTCCCTGTCTCTCCCCCTTGGTTCCTAAGCGTCTTTCTTTCCCCATCTTCGGCCCTGCCTGTCTCTCTCCATTTTGGTCTCTCCCCATCTCTGTCTCTCCCTCCCTCTGACGGCGGCGGATGGGTCCGGGTGGGTCCGGGACAGCCAGGCCAGGGCGCTGGGCGCCGGGGCGAACAATACCCCATTCACGCGGGCCTCCGGTGCCATGGCAACGCGCCCGCCCCGCCCTCCCCGCCCCGGCCACGCGTGCCAAGAGGATGCCATGGTTACGTCAGGCGCGTGCCCGCCTCCCCGCGCGCTCCTGGAAGGCCCGGGCCGGCAGGGGGCGCCCAGCCGCAGCCTCTGCCTTGAGTCAGGAGGGGCATCCTCCTTCAAGGGGCTTTCGGCCACCCAGTGCCTCAGTTTCCCCTTCTGTAACGGGCCAGGCGTGGGCGGAGTGTGTGTGCCTGTGTGTGGTGGTGGGTGAAGGTGCAGTGATGTGTGAGCGCATCTGAGAGACGGTGGGACTGTGTGCCAAGTTGTGGGTCAGTGTTTGCATACGTGTGTGTGGGTGTTTGATGAAAAGTAGTTGGTTCTAGGTTAGGGGTGACTGTATGTCCGTGTGTTTAGAAATGTGTGTGCATATGTGGTTGTGTGCTCGTGAGTTCATGTGACTGTGTCTGTGTTTGCATGGCTGAAGGGAGGGTATAAGAGAGAGAGAGAGAGAGAGAGAGAGAGAGAGAGAGAGAGAGAATGGGTGTCTGTG